AGGGGATGAGAAAAACCGCCAACTTTGTCGTCGGGTAATTTCAAGGTTTGATACCGTATTACCGGATTAGCAGGTACAGCGGCCGAAAATTTGCAACGAATTTCTGTGAGGATCTCTGGTCGCATGCAACTGTGAGCAAAGAGACCCTGCAATATGCCATGAAATATAGTCTTAGACGTTTCATTCGTCATTTGACATGACAAGTCGTGCGAACGCTTCATGATGTCCATAAAGTTGCATGTAAGGTTTACCAGCTTCTGAAGCACCGTTCGTGATGAATGCAAGGTGGCCATAGCGGACAAAATGATGAGAGATGCGTTTGTTACTGAGAAAGCTCAAATACTCAAGTTCTTGCTATGAGCATGCCTGCAGTGCAACACGCGGTTACATGTAGCTTTGGGATAGTAATCTGTTATATGAAAAAGTTATAATAGTTATTTCAGTTATATGATAATTAATTCACTTTTCTGAAAATGTACTTAGTGATATTGACCAAACTATATAAAGTGTCTTCTGAAGAAGGTTCAAGCGCGAACAGGCATTGACTTGAACCAAAATTAATTTATTGTGTTGAAATATGAATTCTGTTATGGATTATGATGTTTAGATATTCATGTTTAAACATTCTATTATGTTTAGATGAAGAGCCTTTTTGGAATCTGGTTTTGCCTTGGGTTCTGAGCAAAAACAATTTGTCGGTTTGTGTAGGTGTAAATAGTGGAAATGTGTGAAATAATATACTTGAGACCATAGGTAGACGTGTGGAGAATAAGAAATATATGGAATTTTGTTATGAGGCCTAATTCAGAGAATTATGGGCATGTATTACTTCCCTGTTTTTATCTTTTCAGCTAAAGGAGAGAGCTTAAAGGTTGGGAAATGCACGAACAGTTTCAGCCCTAAACGCAGTACTGATGGAACATTACATTACTGGCTACTGAGGTTCCGGATTCCGGCTTCTTGTGAAATGATAACAGAGCAGATTTCCTGGTCGGCTCACAAGCACCGGAATCACAAATTCCGGTAGCTCACTAATGTCCTAGGCAGTCGAGTGTTTAGAACTGCAACCGTTCTTGAGTCTCCAAGTCTTTAAACTCTCTCCATTAGCTGGAATGCTGAGAGAAAGAACATGATAACAAATGTCTTATGATTTTGAACCAGACGTTCTCTGAATTGGACCGTAAACCTCATAACCACTTATACCCCATTTTTAAATTCCATGCTTCTACCTAAGCCTTCCATTATGCTCCAATATTCGAATATGCGTTTACTGTGGCCAGTAGCTCTGTTCAGTCTCGGTGGATTTTTTGAATTACTGCAGAATGGACAGTTTTGGTAGC